AGGCTGAGAAAACTTGCATGTACTTTAATAGATTGCCCAAGCATTTAGACTTCAATGATCTAAGAATACTGTGCGGGTTAAAATGAAATTTTAATCGAATTACTCTTTTTATGAAAAACAAACCATTGCAAGTACAAATCTGCTAGTCCGATTCTCTTTGTCACAGGTGCTAGAACTAACAAGTCTAGTACTGTTAATAATTATTCAAGTAACATCATAAAGTATAAAGTATTTTTAATCACTAAGCCTCCCTGATGGTCAGGTTGATTGAAAATCTCAACTGGAGGGCTTAATTTTTAAATTAACCTTTAAAATAATAAAAAAAAAACTAATGATTTAAATATTCAAATAGATTCAATCATCTAGTACTTAAAATAAAATTCATTCACCTTTCACCATTCACAATAGTTTATCGAGGGTGAGAAATTTTTTATTAAGCTCAATTTTCAAAGAATTAATGTCAGATCAAATATATCATTTTATCAATACTCAAAATAGCCTCATGTCTGTAAAGACGTGACTCGAGTTCTCTGTCTGCATTGTTTGATCTAATGATACTATAAAAAATAACAGTGACGATTAGAATCATCTAATTGGGTAGTTTGTCACTAAATGATACTATTAAATTACGATCACAATTGTAACCCATATATGCCTTAGTATCATCGTTTGATCTATGAATTATAAGGGTAGATTTAATAGACACAAAATACTTTGTTAGCTAAGTTGATTTAGATTTGTCCCCTTAAACATCCCAAGTTTACAATATTTCCTTAGATGATGCAACTCATGGTTGCTAACAGAAATCCTTAAATCAAGTTGGGAAGATTGACTTATTCGATTCAATAGATTAGAGACCATGACAATCCGTGATGACAAAATCATGAGATCTTGATTATGTTTGTCATCATTTCCCATAACATATGCTTTGACCTCATGATGATAAATTTTATAATATAAAACTTAAATTTGTTGTTACTATTGTTGAATGTTCAATGTTTAGTGACTAGTTTTATTGAAAAGTGCTCTCGTTATCTAAATGGATATTTAACCATAAGGGTTTGCGCCTTTAGGAAACTGTGAACCCAAAATCTTAAAATCCTCATAAAATTAGTATGAAATCTCTTGATATTATCTTATCCACTATCTACGCAGACTTCTAAAAATTTGACCCTGAATATAGACACAGGTCTTATCACCGACAATCCAAGACGCGAATTTTTTGAGCCCACAAATCCCTTTATGTCGATTATCATTATTTATCAACTTATCCCAGCCAATATGAATTTTCATAAACTTGTTTTTAATATTATTTTTATTTGCATTTAAAATCTATTTGTACTGGTATGTACCTATTATCAATCAGCCTATATTAATATGCATCCAAAAATATTTTTTTAGCATGTCATGTAACAATTGACAAATGGCTACTTAATTATGCATGATATTTTATTTAAAAATATTTAAATTTGAATTATATAGTTTATAAAAATATTTTAATGTTATTTTGAACAGGTTATCATATAAAAAAATGCAGTAGATTTGCTAATATCATTATAACATGCTCAGCATGAAAAATTATGTACTTGTGTACACATAGCAAATCAATGGTGTTGAAGCATTTAACAAACATTAGATCTAAAGATAGTTTGCTCTTTATATTCGCATATTGAGTGTTTCATTACATTTATAAGATCCTCCTTGGAACAAACTTCTTTATTTCTATCAATATCATGTTCTTATGTACACCAAATAAAAGCATCAATTTTCTTTCTTTAAAGCAATTCCCAACTTATCTACACAAATATATTTTATTTAAGCTGAAAATATCTTTTTTAGCTTGAAAGAATTTCTTCTCATTTAAAGCGTTTAACCTTCCATACCAAAAATCAAACTCTTTACAAAAAGAAAAGCAAAAAATTAATTTTTTTACCTAAATTCTTAGCCATCTCTTTCACTTTCATTGCTCTTCTGGATCTCTATTTTCTTTCTTTTCCTTAAGCCAACTTTTATCCTCAGTTTCTGCTCTCGGTTTTGGCTACAATTAAGTTAATGGATGGAGGGCGTTTAAGTTTATATATTAGTAAATAAGTACTAGTTATTTAAATAACTTTGATGTCTTTTGTAAATTTGAAACCATCACAACCATTGCATGCACGGAAAGCTGAGAAAAAAAAGATTTTCTGCAATATGCTATGGCAATATTAAATAAGTGAACAGTAATATTAACTGAAATTAAGTTAATTAATTAAATTAATGAAATAATTTATCGACCTATTGTCCTAACATTTATGACAATACTCATACATATGAAATTGATCATTGTAAATTATAGATTCTATAGAAATAATTTTTGATTATTATTGGGATGTGCATAGTATAATTTTTAGAAGAAATTTTAATTATATATTATTATTATTTTTGAGTATTTAATTTCTCCATTCTTTTAAGAATTTCATCTTCAAACTTCTTTGTTTTAGTTATCATTAAAAGATATTAAAGAATTTGTCTTCTGTCATGTTCTATTTCTCAAGTTGCTTCTATTTTTAATCTATAGCTCACTTAATTTTGGCATAGAAAATTTATTTGTTTATCAGCTTTTTAACATCCATTTTTACCATTCTTTCAGGTTCTTTTATATAACTTAGATCTTTTTGCACCTTAATTTTATCATGTGATGCTCATCTGATATGTGTTTATGATCCACTTTCTTTGTATTGACAAATAAAAATATTATGTTTATTAGACATGTCTATAGGCAATGCTACTCTGTAAGCAACTTCATCAATTATTTTGATTATTTTAAATTGAGTTGTGTATTTGTGATACCAGAGTTAATCCAAACCATAATAAAATTACAAATATTATTAATATTGCGGAATTCAAAAAGGGTTACATGAAGATTCTCTAGGGTGTGAGCGAGGATGATAGGCTGTTGTCTGGATAGTAGGTAAGGAGTAGTCGGGATGTGGGGGCGGCAAGCATGGGCAGGGGGGTGGGGTTGGTACAGGTGGTGTGGGTTGGTTGCAGGTGGAAGGGGCTGTTGTATTGTGGGGAGTTGTTAAAGATGGGTTTACAAGTAGAGAAACAACAGGATTGTTGGGTCTCGCGACAAGGAAGCAACAGTCTGGTAGGAGTTATGACGTGGGATGGATTGAGTTTCACGACAGTGAAACAATAGGCTGGGGGGACTTATTGGGTTTCTCGACCGGG